GTCCTGATACTTCATTAGTATCTATAATGATGGTTAACAATGAAATTGGTGTGAAACAACCAAGTAAAGAAATTGGTCAAATTTGTCGTTCGAAAAATGTTTTCTTTCATACAGATGCTGCGCAAGCAATTGGAAAAATTCCCCTTGATGTTAATGAAATGAATATTGATCTGATGAGTATTTCAGGTCATAAAATTTACGGTCCAAAGGGTGTAGGTGCTTTGTATGTACGTAGAAAGCCAAGAGTTAGAGTTGAGGCTCTACAAAGTGGTGGTGGGCAAGAAAGAGGATTGAGGAGCGGAACTGTACCTACACCGTTAGTCGTAGGGTTGGGTGAGGCTTGCAGAATCGCTAAGGAAGAAATGGAGGTTAGTATAAATTGCTGTAAGTCAAATATAATAGTGCAGAGTATTATGAATAAAGATCCATTCAAATCTAATATTTTATTGTTATATATATATATTATTAATTTGTTGCAGTATGATGACAAACGTGTTAAAAAACTTTCACAGAGACTAGTTGACGGAATCATGGCAAAAGTTCAACACGTAGTTCGCAATGGTGATCCAAGTTCGGGTTATCCAGGTATTAAATCAAGGTTCTTGATTTGTTTTATGGATTTTTTCTATCTGCTAAAGGTTATGGTGTTTTTAGGCTGCGTAAATCTCTCATTTGCCTATATTGAGGGCGAGTCACTTTTAATGGCACTTAAAGATATTGCACTTTCTTCTGGTTCAGCATGTACTTCTGCATCCTTGGAGCCCTCATATGTTTTACGTGCATTAGGTGCCGATGATGATATGGCACATTCAAGCATCAGATTTGGTATAGGAAGATTTACTACGGAAGAGGAAATTGATTTTGTTGTGAACAAAGTTGCACAACATGTTGACAAATTAAGAGAAATGTCACCACTCTGGGAAATGGTGAGTATAAAGTTTTATTTTGATTTGAAAATGTTAATTGATAATTAACGTTAATTGATAATTTTTTTAGGTTCAAGAAGGCATAGATTTGAAGTCAATTCAATGGAGTCAGCATTAATTTTTGGATGAAGTTATCTGTATATATATATATATAATATATATAAAAAAAGGGAAATTCTATTTTCACCCGGGTTAAATTCATCCGAAATATTACTAATTTTAGTTACGTAAATGACATTATAGTTTATCTGGTGATTTTAACCCGGGTGATTTTATAATTCCCCTCAAAAATATATCAATATCAATATGTAAAAATACAATTACTAAGCCCTCTCAAAATGATCAGCATTAATTTTGAACGTGAATTACAGTCAACTCTCTAAATACATAGTCAAAGGGCCAATATTGATATAACGAATATAGGGGTAAAAATCTATAAGTATCATATGAGTTTGGGCCATGCGTTTTTATGCATTAAGAAAGGTTACATTTAGACTGTATTTAGTTTAATATTGCATTTTTTTTCTCAAGTTATTCGTCCTGCATATTTTAATATTGAACGATAAGGTGGAGTATTCTTTTTTTAGATCAATTTATGTATATTTAGGTTTATATGCATATGCAATTTCAATTAAATTTTGGATAGTTTAAACATTTTATAAAAATGAGAAATATGTACGTACTTAAGTATTTCACTGTACTATATAACTTTTACAAATATCAACTGTATACATATATATACAATAAGAATTTTTTTCATAAGAATGTAATCGAGACGGTCCACAAACCAAATCGGGGTTCATAAACGCCATTGTGCATTGAAAAGCAGTTTTGATCGCGAAATCAAATTAAATAAATCGACTATTCCAGAACGTATTCGTTTAATCAAAGATATATATATGTCGATATTATAATTACGTAAATTTATTATTATTACGTAATTTTGGTATTAAATAACCGGAGAAACGTCATAGTTCAGGTTTATAGGGCAGATATTTATCCAGATTACTAATATCTACGTCTTTTACTGACATTGGATGATTGAAAATAAGTTCAGACACTATTACCTGGTCAGACATTATTATCTTGCGTAAGATGATGCCTTAATTAAATATTAATCACTTAAGATTGGTCCTAGATATTTCGCAGCATTAGCACTAGTAAGTCGATTGTCACATGCTCATATAAAGAAATCAATGGTTACTACAGTATATAAATCAATGGCGGCAAATTAATTGAAATTACCGGTATTTTTCGAAATACGTACCAATAAATAATTACTGTAATTACTGTTAAGGATATTATAGTTATTCAACTTTATTCACTAACGCTAATCAATTTTTTATTTATGATGCAACGACGAATATGGCGATAATCATGTATCTCAACCGATTGGCTACTTCATGAACCGAGTACATAATTATATTACCTAATCTGTAATGATAAGTATTATTACATACCTTTCTGTAAAACTATTCGTATGTATTGCTGTATGTATATATATATAACACCTGAATTGGGAGTAAGTGCATAATATACGTAATAATATACGTAATGACAAAACTTTGAAAGAGAATAATACATGGTTTAAGGCAGAGTATATATCATATTTAATAATATATATATAGTTATTTGCGTAAAAATAATTATTGTGTAGTTTTTTTGTTTTTTTTAAGATTTATTAATGCAGTTTTATGATTACAAATGTAGAAATCAGGAATATTAAGTAATTGTCTTGTTCATCCACAGTTCAAATGATCCGCACATTCATGCAAGATATTGGCAACACAAATTTAGGACACGTTTTAAAGTTGAGCAAAAACGTTTCAATCAGATTATTTCCATAATGATACGTAATGGATAATATTAATTTTAATGTTAAGTGCACTTTAAAATAAAATACTCGAGAGAACAAGTTTTATAAAAACTAAAAATTATGTGATACTAAAAGATCAGGTGTTCAAAGACATGAATTATGTTTTGGATATGACCACCTGATTTTTAATTTAACGATCACAAAATTACCATTCCTAAAAAAGTAAACTATCTACAGGCATATTTATCAATGGTGTTATCGATAGTGCTATGTATCGTTATCTATTCGAGTGATACAGTACCAAAGAAAGACCGATAAATCAATTTTAAGCTTGCTGAACCTGATAACTGCAGTAATAATGAAAATTAAAAAAAAAAAAAAAAAATCAAACTTGCTTGCGGGTTTTTTCACATTTATTGTAATTAACATTTTTTTTTCTGTATATTTTAAAACATTCTATTCTATGTAGTATACTGTACACCTCTGGCCCTGATATGTTACTTATTGTGCTATAGGTAATAGAAAAGTTTATGTAGCAACGGTATTTTGAGTGTTTTAAATAAATATACGCCAAACATCTTTTTTAAGTTTTGGTCAACTCAATAAAATATTACTATATTAAAATTTGTGGTTTCACTCAATACCAATTTTAATTAAACTATCAAAGTTATTACATATAGTTATTACAATTATAACACTAGGTCTCTTAAATTTTGAGTTAATATAATATCTGAAAAATGTAAGAAATAATTTTAGTAATTAAAATAAAAAAGAATTATAAAATTATGAAGAAATGAAATACCTGTTACACTGCCCATTATATGTCTTAACAAGTTTGTATCAGTGGCGTTCGTAAAATGAGCATATACTTCTTTTGAATCACTTCGATTAAGTCGTTGAAATCTACGTTTAAAATAGTGTGTTGCAGATTTAAAATCATCATTTGGGCCTAAAATAAGATAAATTAACCCAATTATTAAGATTAACCCAATTATTAAGATTAACCCAATTATTAAGATTATATTGAATAAATCCATTTGACCATAAAGATAGACTTTTACCTGTATAATCAGGAAAATATTTATTGACAGGTGATATTGATATTTTTTCCTTGAAAATATCAATCTTGTTCAAAAACAAGATCATCGAAGTATTTACAAACCATTGTGAGTTACAGATAGAATCAAAAAGCATTAAAGCTTCTTGCATTTGATTCTATAAAATTCGATCATAAGATTAATTAAAAGGTTAAAATTTTAAATATAGCATAAAAATGAAAATTAATATACAAACTTACAGCATCTTTATCTTCAACTAAACATTGATCATAACCGCTAATTGCCACTAAGAACAATACAGCTGTGACGTCTTCAAAACAATGAATCCATTTTTTTCGTTCAGATCTTTGACCACCAACATCAAACATTCTAAGATATATTTAATTAAATGAGAAGTGATAATCAATATATCAAAAATATATTTAATTAAATGAGAAGTGATAATCAATATATCAAAAATATAATTTATTACGTGCATTACCTGTATGTTAATGGACCTAGATGAAATATGGTTTCAACAATTCCTGTGGTTTTCATTCGACAACGCAAGATATCTTGGTTTGTTGGCGTATAAGATTGGGAAAATACCCTGTCTAGTGACTCAAAAAAACTTGAAAAATTTAATTCAAGAGTGAATAAATGCGTATTGAACAATAATAAACAATAATGAACAATAAAATTAAAATTACATACTATGTCATATTATCATGCAATGCATATTGGTTACCCATCATATAACATTTTTGTACACCATTATCATTCCATAGAGATTTTAATGGTTCTAAATAATTTACTGGAAAAGGTTGATTTTTAGAAATGGATGGAGGAGTATTAAACAGCGAAACGTAATGCTATATAGAAACATTTGGTCAATAAATATATAAATTCACGCGTTAATTATTGTTAATTGTTGTTAATTATTGTTAATTATTTAGGAGAGACCAAAAGAAAAGGAAAATTACCATATTTGAAGGGTCGCCAAATGGTATTTTGTAATATTCCATTGCCTCAAGAACCAAACTCATTGAATCCATGATATTCAAAAGTACAATTGATCTATATGTTTCTCGTTCAACAGAATTAAATCCGGATGCATGAATAAGACGCATCTGTTTTAGAATTGTACTTTTACCGGATTCTCCAGCACCTTATTAATGAAAAATTTACGATAATTAATTCTAGCGTTATTAAAATCATTTAATAATTTTGCAAAAAAAAAAAAATACCCAGCAAAAGTAATTTGACTTCGGTTTTCATTCTCTTTTCATCTTCTTTGATGGATTTATTTATACGTCTATTGGTGGCGTCACCAGAACCACAATTTCCCATTCTTTTTGAAGTTTCTTCTTTATAAAAGGAATTTTTACTTGGTTTAATATATGATAAACCTCAAGGAATAGATATATAACACGTAAACCACACAAATAGATAAACAAAAAAAAAAAACCCTCCCAAAAAACTTGAATAAAAAGAAGAGGAAGAAGAGAATAAACGGGGAAAGAAAAGAAAATTTTTAGAATTAAATAAACAGAAAATTGAAGGGGGATGTACATTATATGTGACACGTATTTTTATAATAATATATTTTTCCCGATATCGATATACCGATACATGCAGGATTTTGTCTTGTCATTGTGCAACCGAGTTTAAATAATGACCGTTAAAAAAAGGATTTCGAATAGTTGTTATAGTATAAATTCAACATTGAGGGTCTTTGAAACAACAAAGGAGTTAGTAAGCATTAATCACCTATGTAAGATGTAAGAAGTACATGTAAGAAGTACATTGGATAGTAAGTTTCACGTATTCCGATAAATTTAAAAGATTTTATATTTTCTAAAGCATCCAATCTCTGGTGAATTTTCGCATCATCTGGTTCTATTTCAAAAATAACCAAATTTGAATTTTGGATAAAACGCCGGGTGATACGAATCACATGAAATAATAATTATAAACTAGATCCCTTCTTTTCCCAGACAATCGAAGTCTTTGTTAATACAGCAGTCTTTATATTTTTGGCATTGAAGGGATAAACATAAACAATATAATACATATAAAGTACAATAAGTATTTTTTTTTGTTCTCTCACGAAAACTTATTGAAAAGCATGCGGTCATGAAAGGAATTAAAACGGAAAATTGATTATCATTATTTATTGTATAATTGAATTTATTTAATTCCTGAATGGCTCTTTTACCCATTTCAAAGACCCACATGGTTAAAGTAGATACTGTACATACGTAAGTGCGTATGTACCGGCTCGTACATACAGACATACATAACATACATAACATACATAACATACATAACATACATAACATACATAACATACATAACATACATAACATA